CCCGCAAAGCCTCAGGAGCTCAGAGATAGGGCTTTTGGAGAGTTATTGTGTTATGGGGACTTAAGTGATTGTGACTGCCAGGAGGTGGGCCCTGGTCCAAAGAGGCAGGTCACTGTGGCACAGCTTGGAAGGGTTTACTACCTCTCCAGCCACACTGCCTAGGAGCCAGCTGAGTACGGGGTGAGGGCAAGAGTTCTACTTTCAGCCTCTGCAAGTGGATATCCAGTTTTCCCAGTAGCATTTGTTAAATAAGCTGTCTTTTCCCAATATGTCTTTGGCCCCTTTATTAAAAATGTCTAGGGGTATGGGGTTCTGTGTCTTCTGCTCCTTTTCACCTACATGTCTATTTTTGTGCCAACATGTTGTTTCTGTTATTGTAGCTTCACAGTATAACGTGAAATTCTGCACTGTAATGTCTCCAGCTTACTCTTTTGCTCAGGACTACTTTGGCTGTTCTGGGTCCTTTCTTTTGTTTCCCCACATGCCATGCTGGGATTGAACCCAGGGCCTCATGCAGAGTAGGCAAGGAGGACTCTACCACCACTGAGCTACATCTGCGTCCTACTCTGAGTCTTTTCTCGCTCTATATGAATTTCAGGGACCTTTTTTCTAGTTCTGTGAAGAACGTCATTGGAATTTCAATGGGGATTGTGTTGAGTCTGTGGGTTGCTTTTGGTAATCTGTCTATTGGCCTTTTGTCAATGTGCTAGATGTGAGTTTCCGCCTCCCAGAGGCATTGGGGTTGTGTGGGCTTTAAGATCCCAGGAGTGTTTCACAAGGGTCCCTGCAGAAATTAGTTATGCTAATCTCCAGCAAAAGAGCAATTCTCTAGTCTGATCATCTTTGTCATCCTACACCAGTTTCTGCTGCTTTTATGGGGGAGGGAAGGTCTCTGGCACTTAAAAAACCCAGGTAGGAAAAGGGACAGCCAAGAATCTAAATATTTATTGCATTCCATTAGAAGACCCAAAACCGGTAGTGCTCAAGCACTTTGACTAAAGGGTATTGTTTATTTTATGCCTGGTCCTCACCGCATATCCAGACTGGTGCTGACAACACACTGGATCACTTCGAAGCACTCTGCTCCTCTAGGGGCCGTCGAATGCTTCCCTATTGTTACCCTGGCAAAGCTGGGAGACTGTTAAGGGCTGGAAGGCTTTTGTGTGGATTCTGAGAGTTCTAAAACTCCAGATGCCTTCAACAGGTCACTTGTGATTGTGATATTGTCATGGTTTTAAATTAGTGTTAATGAGTACACATAATTAATTTGCCATGCAAATGGGTAATACTGAAAAGATTCACTGTTATCTACTACAATAGTTATCACAAAATTAGAATAAAGTAGGTTTATTCTTTCACTTTTAGAGCGTAGTAGTGTTGGTTTAAGAAATTTCATTTGGTTAACACATTATCATTTGATTAAAACAAATATTTTTCCTTGAGTCAAATCCAAAATTCTTAAGGTTAGAAAAAAAAAGTAAAGTTTAGTATCATGTTCTTTCTCTCTTTTTTTTTTAATTCCACCATGGCTCTGACTATTTCAAAGGGTAGTACGAAAAATTTCCAAAGCTATTCAAAATAAAATTATTTTTAACTGATTTTAATTGACAGGTTCAAGTTCAACATCATTTTTCTTCCCCCCTCCTTTTTGGGGGGGGGTTAATTATTGTTAAGCTGGAGGTCAAACCTTAGGCTTCATGCATGCTGAGCATGTGCTATATCATTGAGCTATATTATATTCCCCATTCACAATGTCATTTTTTAAAAATCAGGAACATTTCACAAATTTTTATACCATCATTGTGCAGGTGCTGTGTTAATTTTCCGTGTCATTCAAATTTTAGTGCTAATAAAATGAGCACTCATATCATTTTTATGCTTCACACACACATACACACACACACACCCCAGTGAAGTATTTAGCTTGTATAAGATTAAATGTCATCCACTTATCAGATAAGGCAGAAAAGTTGACATTTGAGCTTTCTGATTTACTGATTTTCCTGGATGACCTTGGACAAGTCATTCAAACCTTCAGCTTTGGTTTCCTTATCTTTAAGACAGACAAATCCATCCCTTCCCTATTCTGATGTCATAGGGATGTGGTTTTACAAAAAGCAGAGTGAGTGCCAACGTTTTGAGCTCCTGAGAAATGAGCCACATTTAATCCAATCAATGAAGATCCTTTTCTAGTTCTTTAGAGAGAGAGACACCCTGTAAAAGCCTAGCAGATAATGATGGCTAATAAGATATTCACACCTACACTGCTTAGCTATTTCCTGAGTTCTACGGGAATGTGAGTTGTTGATAGCAGGTGCTATTTGTTTGTTGACATACTCTTTAGTAAATTTATCTAGAAAATACAGAGTTGGAAAATAATTGTGTCATATGCGTAGCTATGCTCAAATGTGTGTAAAGAGAGTTTTCTTAATAAAACAGAAATTCTTTTCAAAACTTTGGTTTGGTGGGAAATAAAAACTACCATTTATATTTGAAAAGAGTGTTTCCCTCAGAAAGCGTGGAATTGTTGATTCTATAAATATTGCGACTTTCTCAACTTCAAATAGAGTTTAAGCCATGTTGAAGTGTCACAGATAAATCAAGCTCCCACAGCTCAGCTTTCTTAACAGACAAGGTCAACGGCAGCAGGGTAGTTTCAGGACTGAAAAGGCCATGGGCTTTAAAGACTGGCATAGCTATGTTTGCGTTCTGGCATCCTTGACTAAACTAGTGTGTATTTTGTTTTTGTTTTATCCATAGATTGAGAATAATCATACTACTTCTTACTAGAATTATATTGAAGATTATTATTTTTTTGTAAAAAGTGTTTCCATTGTGATTTGTTTTATTTTATTTTATTGGTTTTTCTCCGGTACCGGGAACCGAACTCACGACCTTGCGCTTGCCAGGCAGGCGCTTTTGCCGCTGAGCTAAATCCCCAGCCCCTCCATTGTGATTTGGAGGGCTACGGACACCTTACCAAATAAGTGTGCCTCTAGTTCATTCTTAGTTTGTCCTTCGGGATAGAGGCCAGGAACTCTTCAGGGTGGTAAATGTCACCAGGAAGCCAAGTCCTAACACTATGAAGACCTGGTGACATTCACCCCGTGGTTCTTTATGTGTTCAAGGAACTAGTTCAGATCTGACACGTGGTCCAGTGCGTAGGATACAGGTAGATTTATAAATGGTACATTTTCAGAGCAAGATAAGAATGCACCGTCAAGTGCGACAGTGCACGCAGGCGCCTTGGAGGCCGGGATCTCGAGAGGTCTCAGGTTATGTTTAGATGACTTGGGCCTTTACAGACAGTTATTTCTTTCCTCCCAGGTCATTGTTCTTTGATGAGGAAAATGGGCTGTTTTGACCAACTTCAAGGAAAGGAGGTTCCTCAGGTGGAATGTTTGTTTCCATTTAGCTTGGAGACCTGCGGCTTTTCCACCCGCTCACCTTTGGACAGGGCGACCTGAGCAGTAGCACAGAGAAGGGGACATTCTCTTGGGCTATAGCTCGTTTGAATTTTTTCCATAGCGAATGACTAAGAAAACAAAGGAAAAATTAATAAACACACACGTTTTCTTTGCTTTTTATGTAGCCCCTAGCTATCTGCCTCCAAATCTGTTAATGTCTGACTTCTCCAAATAACTTTTCCCTCCTTTCAGCTCTGCTTTCCTCTCTGTTGCTGTCTTCTGATTTCTCCTTTTCTGGCATGACCCCAACATTTCAAAGCCTCCTCTGAACTAACTCACTTCTCCAGGTCCCTCAAATGCACAGACATGAACAACAGATCTGTCTTCTTCCCTCCCTTTCCCCCTCCTTTCCGCCTTTTTTTTTTTTTCTTAGTGATGCTGGAGATCGAACCCATGACCTCACAGGAGATAGCAATTGCTCTTCCACTGAGCTACCTCCTCACCCCCAAGGGACATTTCTTTAAAATAACAGGGATTCCCTCTAGACTTTGTCCTTGTGTCATGCACATACACTTTAGTTTTAAACCAACAAAACTTCAGTTCTGAAGAAAACACACTGAACGACACGTAAAGTGTATAAAAATTCTAATGACCACTGTCCTGCATATTAATAGGACGGAGGGAAAGAAAAACTTGTACTCTACCTCTCAGGTTATGCAGCTGGGGACTATGAATTTATACGCCCTTTTACTAGAGGGTCATAGGTGGTGGAGAAGCAATCAGATGAAGGAAAGGAGGGGTTGAAAATTATGGGGAGCGGGCAGTAGATCAGGTTTGTTTAGTAAGGTTTGTGAGGCAGACTCATTTCCTTACAGGCTGCGGCAGCTAAAAACCTTCTCTTCCTGGTGTGGGAGGGAGGGGGAGCTTTATAGGTGGAAATTTCCTTTACAGATGGGATATTTATGTTCATCTTAGGCCAGTGAAGGAAAACAGAGCTCCTGTTGTGCCTGCTGTTTCTCAGCAGCCTTCAGCTCAAAATAACCCTTAGGCCAAAGCGGCATATTTTGAGTGTCCTATTGTGCTCTCTTCAAGAACAATACTTGGGAAAACATTGAATTCAATAAGAATCTAAAAGGCAAGTATAGGGGCTGGGGATTTAGCTCAGCGGCACAGCGCCTGCCTGGCAAGCGCAAGATCATGAGTTCGATTCCCGGTACCAGAAAAAAACAAAAAAAAGGCAAGTATATATTCAATTACTGAGGGATGAACAGACATAGTTATATAAGTGTTTATCCCCTTGACACCACTCAGCCTTGAAACCCAGAGAGCATAGCTTTTGGTCCAACCCTTTCTCTTCTACCTTGCTTTGTTTGCATGAAGATGGGATTATTTTATTGATTTACAAAACAAACAGCAGGCAGCTCATATTTTCCTTCTGCAGCAGTGGGATTCACCTGTGGTCCTTCCGAGGTCACTGAAGCTGACTTCTACTTGTATTCATAACAAGATACCTAGAGGGAAAGACGCGATGGCTGACTTGCGCTTGCAGATTGTTACATATTTTTCCGTTTTGGTTTTTCTGTTTGACAGCAGCAGCGTGCAGGGTCACTTCCAGCCGGCCCCCCATGTCAGTGGTCTAGGATGGCCAGTGAAGCCACCAACATCCCAAGCCCCGTGGTGCGCCAGATCGACAAACAGTTTCTGATTTGCAGTATATGCCTGGAACGGTACAAGAATCCCAAGGTTCTCCCCTGTCTGCACACTTTCTGCGAGAGGTAAGCCTCCTTGGTGCTCCACAGCCTGACTCATGCCATGGGCCACCGGGCTTTTTCCCAGAATTCTACCATTACCCCGAGAGACAATGAGTCTCTGTCCTCCTGACAGACATCTAGAAACCAAATCATGAGTTGCCAGCAACTTACTTTATTTCAAACACTTGCAAGAGAAAGCAAACCCAGGAGCTACTCCTGGTTCATTTGCAAAGGAGAGGGAGCGTTAAATATTTCAAGATTAAACATTTTCTGTGATTTTTTTTCTTTGTTCTTTGTGGAATAGTGTTGCTGACAGCTGTTTCCTCAGAGTGTCCTTCCCGAGGGCCCATTACAAATCTATCATTTCCCCCTATCACAGATAAGGTGAAATACCTACACGCATAAGGGGTCGTTCAGACTGAACCTCTGGCCTTTGCACTGAGCTATAGCCCCAGCTGTTCCTTTATTCATTTATTTATAGGCGGAGTCTTGCTCATTCTCAGGTTGGGCTGGAACTTGTGAGCCTCCTCCGAGCCTCACAGGGTGCTGGGCACTATTGATCCCTCCTGAAAGGCTGTCTTTCTAGAGAAGGGTGTAAGTCAGTTACAAAATGTACAGTACCCTATTGTTTAACTTACCACATAAGAAATTAGGCATTCAAGGTCTGTGATTAATTTATCTGTGACCTAATTTAAGTATTTCTTTAGTAAGGTTACATGTTTTTCTTAAAAACAATTATAGTAATTATATATTATAGCACTTAGCGAAATAGGTTTTCTATACTGTATTATCTAAGATACATAATTAAAATATTTTGCTTCTTATTAGAGAACAGGACATCAGGACTTCTAATGGCTTCAAATATATACTGATTACATTTCCTGCCTATTTAACACTGGTTACCTGAAACATCTGCTTGATGTTTTTTGAGTTGATGGAGGTCTCAGCTGTACAAAAATAACTACATCCTTGGTGGTGGTGATGGGTAGAAAGAGAAAGATTTGTTACCAGTAGCTGTGGCTTTTAGTCCTTTGGGGTTGTCGTGCATGTGTGTGGATAGGCTTGTTTTATTGTTTTAGTGGTATGATATAGCACACCCAAACTTTCCATTTTACGGTTTGCCTTAAGTGCTTTGTAATGCATATTCTAAATTGGAGTGTGATTTCCCCCCGACTCCTTGATGGATGTAGCTCAAACACAAATACCAGCAAACTTCCCTGTGTCCCTGTGTCCCTGTGCACATATGATACGACCACCAATTTTATTTGGGCCAGGGGCCACCACCTGGCTTTGTATACACCGCACTGACAGCTACTCAGTCTGAGCTCAGCAGAGCTACCACATTCCTGCGTTCGGTGACGTGTCTGTTTTTTGGGTTCTCTGACTTTATTCCAGCAGGTGAGAAGCACCGCTCAGGAGTAGCCCTGGGTCTGGCCCAACCCAGCCCGTTTTCCATCCAGTAGCTAGTGGTGGTTACTTACAAGACCCTACCATAGCGAGTACCCGTGGAAGGCTGTGGATTAAAATTGTTTTAGCATCGCGCACTTTGGAATACTTCCTTTTGAAAATGATAACAGCTTTTCTTTAAAAATGGGAAGATTTTGTTTCTGTAGAGACAGAACTTCACTGTTTGGCTCTGTCTCTAGAACTGAGCCGTGGGCCCCCTTATTCTGGACATACTGACCCCCTCTGCTTGGGGACATCTTCATCGCCTACTCCCAGACCTTCCAAGCACCATCTAGGCCTGGAAGGAGACCGAAACATGATACTGTCACTAGCCTAGTGGAGGAGCCTGTCATTCACCCCCTAACTGCTCAGATTAATGTGAAATTAAACCACAGACAAAGGCTAACCACCAGAATTATACAGACAACCGAACTGCTCAGATTAATGTGAAATTAAACCACAGACAAATGCTACCCACCAGAATTATACAGACAACCAGATAATAGGGGCCTTTGCCCCAAGCGGGGAAGGCTTTCCTACAGGAGTGAATGCTAAGCAGCAATCCCAAGTGTGAGTGAAAATGAAGCAAAGGGGACCGAGGAGGAGGAACACGTCTCAGGCACACTCAGCATTGCGGTCACAAGAGGACCGTGACACTTGGGATGCACCTGAGCCCGCTGTGCTCCGGGGCAGCAAATTTGAGGAAGAGACAACAAAGCTGTAAGTGCAAGATCACATCAGGCGTGGTCTGTGTTCCTCCCCATGGATTCTTATTTGTAGTGCAGGAACAGTAGAGGCCATGGGAGAGCTTCCTGTGAGAGGGGAGGAGAGGAAGAGCCAAATGGTTACTTCTGAATTTAAGATTATTCTGACTGCCATGCAGAGAAGGGCTAGAGAGTACAAAAGGAGACGACTGTATGCCAGGTCTGAGGCTGCTCCGGAACTCCAGAAAGGGTGGTGTAGGGTGAAGAGAACTGGAGGGGCCGGGAAGACAAGGAATTGACCAGCTCTGGTGATGGGTGGGATGTGGGAAATGCAGAAGAGTTGGGGAGCTGCTGTCTCATGAATGACTCTTAGTTTCTGGTTTGCGTAGATCGGTGGTGGCGAACCTCTTAGAGCTTTCAGTGATAACAAGCAGCTGCTGTGGCACATGTGCCATAGGTTCCCCACCAGTGGCTTAGATGAGTAGATGGAGGTGCTCTTTATCCTGATGGGAGGAGGACACAGCTTGGGGAAGCTCATTGGTTTGGTTTTGGACATGCTGAGCTCTAAGACCTGTGAGGTCCCTAAGGGAAACTGTCAGGAGGAGAGTTGGTCTGCAGGTGTGAACTTGGCGGAGACATCTGTGGGAAGAACTGCAAATGTAAATGTGGAAGTCCTGCCTGTTGCGAGAGCGTGGATATAATACTCCAGGAGAAAAGAGCTCTTAGGATGAAGCCTTGACTAAAACCAAATTTCATCAACTCAGAAAAGGTAGAGCAGATAGGAGTAGGACCGAATGAGTATGGTGTCCTAAAGACAAGGGAGAATAAAATGGCAAAAGGACCGTCACATTTGATGGATACTGCTGAGATGTCTCGTAAGATAGGATTGAGATATGATAGGTTGAGGTATCTTTAGTGACCCTAGCCAAGGCTGTCTTATTTCTGGTATTGATTTCGCCTGGCTCCTTCTGTAACAGAGAAGATCATTGAACTCTCCTTGATGTCAATTTCTTCATCTTCAAAAGAAGGGAATGGGGCCAAAGTAGTGGTTTTCAAATGTCATTGGCTAAGCAACTGGAAAACATTGACTAATCCAGTTACCTAGCTAGGAAGTGAGTGAGTTTGTTTGTTTTTGCAGTGCTGGGATGGGACTCAGGGCCTCTCTATGCCAAGTAAGCATTCTACCACTGAGCTACGCCCTCAGCCCCAGGTCTAGGTGCCTAGATTCTGGTGTCAAACTCCCTGGGTTTGGATTCCTGCTGTGCTCCTGACCAGCTAGGTACCCTGGGTGAGCCACTTAGCCCCTCTCTGCCTGATCCGAGTAGCGTTTCCTTCATAGGTTCTTGGGAGAACACAGTGAACAATAACGTACTGGTCATCATTAGTAATATATTTCTTTATTTAAATGAGTTACATCAATGCCTGTAAAGAAGAGACAGTATGATTTTTGAATGTAGGTGCCCCATCCTGCTGCAACCAAACATTTCCATTTTGACGGCTTTTAATATCTGGTTGTGATTTTTTGTGTAGAATTAATTTCAATGTTAACAGAAACATGTGACCTGTTTCTTCCAGTTGTAAAAGTCACACAGTGGTGAGCCACATGTGATAGGCCAGTGTTTCTTACACTTGAAGGTGTGTGCCAGTCACCTGGGATCTGATTCCGTAGGTCTGGATGGGGTCAAAGATCCTGTGTTTCCACCCAGTTCCTGAAGAGACTAAGGCTGATCATCCAGGTTCCACATTCTATGCCAAGGATCTAGAAAACGCCATGGAAGTCACTGACATTTTTCCTTTCCTTGCTCATGACCTGAGCATTGTCTGGCCATCTGATAGGGCCAGTGTGCAGTCAGGTTAGCTCATGGTTCCTGAACTATTTCCCAAGGAAGGGACCAGGTGAAGGGTGTTTGTGCAGAGTAGCCCCTGTAGTTTCTGAGAACGATGCCTTTAAGAAGTGTTGCAGCTCTGTCCCTGAGCTCAGTACTGATTCGTCCCATGTCTCCCCCTCCAACAGGTGCCTGCAGAACTACATTCCTGCCCACAGCTTGACCCTGTCCTGCCCAGTGTGCCGCCAGACCTCCATCCTGCCTGAGAAAGGCGTGGCCGCGCTCCAGAACAACTTCTTCATCACAAACCTCATGGACGTGCTGCAGCGGACGCCAGGCAGCAACGTCGAGGAGTCCTCCATCCTGGAGACGGTGACCGCTGTGGCTGCAGGAAAGCCTCTCTCCTGCCCGAACCATGATGGGAATGTAAGTGGAGTGGATGGACTGTGCATGCGGCCTGGCAGCCTGGTGGCTTTGACCTGGGGTAGGCTTTGGGCGTGTCAATGATGGACATTAAGACAGAACTCCACTTGGAAATCAAGTGATTGCAAAGGGGTTTTCTGTTTTATTTTATTTATTTACTTTTTTAACTAACTCTTAGACTATTTGTTTTGCTTACTTTCTATGATCAGGATTAAATAATGAAATCCATCTTCATTGTGTTTGCCTACCATGTGTATTGTTGGTATCCTAAGGAGAGTGAATCAGTAGCTATTTGCAAGCTATGCGTTCTTTAACCCACCTAAACATCTGTGTCATAAATTCTGTATAAAAATTTAATAGTGGGTAAGTTCTGCAAATTGAGAGTGATTATTAAAATGTTAATTAACTAGACTTGCTTATTTTTCTTGGGGGGGAAATTTTTTCATTTTCCCTTGGACCTTATGCCTTCATTCCTCTGATAATAGATAACAGATTGCAAACATATTTCCTGCTGCTTGCAAGTACAAAACTGCAACAGACCAGGAGGACCTGTGGAGCATCCAAAAACTGATTCGTTAGGATTCTGTAAGCAGAAGAGGCAGGATCATACTATGGCTAAGAGCTCTGCCTTTGAAGCCAGACTGCTGGATTCCAATCTTGTGCTTGAACTGGTTCCCACAAAGCTCAGTTTATAAAACTCACTGTATCTCATTTCTTCTTTGGTAAAGACAAGTGGTAGTAGTATTTACTATATGAGATTACTGGAGAAATGAAATATTTCAATATTTGATATTTAAATCATATTAAGGACATAGTAAGCTCTAGATAAAAGTTAGCTATTGAGATTATTTCTTGGGGGTTGTGATATAGCTCAGTGACAGAGTGCTTGTCTAGCAAGCACAAGGTTCTGGATTCAAACCCCAGAACTGCAGAAAAAAATATAAATAAAACTATATATAATATGCATGTAGAATTGCTATTAGTAATTGTTTTAGTGCTGGAGATTGAACTAAAGGCTTTGCACATGCAAAGCACATATTCCATTGCTGAGTTACACCCCCAGCCCTAATATTGTTTCTAATTAATGACTTTCCCCACTTTTTTCCTCATATGTCGCTTACTTTATTTGTTTGTTTGCTTTATTTTGTTTTTCTTCCGGTATCAGGAATCAAACTCACAACCTTGCACTTGCCAGGCAGGCCTGTGCCGCTGAGCTAAATCCCCAGCCCCTGTCGCTTACTTTAAAAGTATTTGAAACTGCTTATAATAAAAGTTCTATGTACCATAAAACCACAAGGCAAGTGATCTCTAGGGCCTGGCAATTACTACCAGCCACTTCTGTTTGCCGACCTTATCTCTGCCCACTCGCATGACAGCCTCCTGGCCAAATTATTTCCTGCGTCCAGGCCTGTCTGTCCTTTCTGCCTGGATGGGCTTTGTTCCTTCTTGTGTGCCTGGCTCATTGTCATCTTTGAACCCTCTGTGCACAGAGCAGCCCTCTGCGGCAGTACCCCTGAGTCATGTGACACTTACCTTCTGTCACATCCATCACCTGCTTTACCGCTGCATGGTGCCCACCGTGTCACCTGTGGATTGCTCACCCCGGGTCCTCCTGCTCCTAGAGGATGAGCTCCAGAAAAACAAGGACTTAGCTCCTTGTGTCCTTTGCATCAAGCACAGTGTCTTTAAGGAGGGCATCAAGTCAGTATGAACTGCTGAGAGACCTTCCACCTACCATATTTGGCTCCTCACATCTACCCTGCAAAGCAGGAGTTCATTACCTTCCTTTCATAGATAAGAGACTCAGGCTTGAAGGCGTTAAGTCACAAAGCTAGTTAGACATCGTAAATGCTGGACCAGGAATGAACATCATCGTCATGAGCTTTCTGGTAGCTCAAACAAGAAGGAGACTCTATAGATTACATATCTGTAAAGCCACTGGTTACGTATCTGTAACCATTTAATTGGAACATACTGGACTATTAATGACTGTGAAGTTTGTACCATAAGGAAATTACCACAGAAATTTTGTTAAAAAGAACCTTAAAGGGTACACGCCATAGCAGTTTGCACACTCTTTTTGGTGACTGTTTCCCACAGTCAGTGCTGAGGCTGTCTCTGCTGGGAGCCTGCCTTCCAAACACGGGTTTTGGGAAACCACTTCTGTCAGGAGCGTGAGTCCTCTTCAAGTGTAGTTCAGGCTACGGGTTCTCTGCAGACCCGACTTCCTGGAGGAGTAGGTTTAGGAACACTAGGACACCTACTGTAGACAGTGGTCTAAATTTGGGCTGTGAAAGGGCAGTGGTGTAGAATGAGGATCATGACAACTGGGAAGATGTTAGTTCAGCAAAGGAGACAGCACTGGACTCAGGACTGGCTGGTCCTGGGCAGGGGAGGGCGGGAACCAGATGGGGAGGAGAATTACAGGGAGGAGCCAGAAGAGTAGATGTGAGAGATTGTGATGAGCTGTGAATATCACGCAGAAAACACTTGACCTGCATTCCATCAGCAGTGTGAGAGCGTTAAAGCTCTTTACATAAGGGGTGACATTTTAGTGGCCTTGTAGAGGAATGGGGTAGCAGAGACCTAAATCTGTGACACCAAATCTGAATTTACTGAGCTGTTCAAATGAAAGCTAAGAGGTAGAACCTGACTTGTGTCAGTGGGTCTGGAGAAGAGCGCGTGGATTTTAGAGCAGAGTGCTCTTCCCTCGACAGTCTGCCTCTCACAAATAAAAGGTCATATGCTAAGGTAAGCTGTCAAGATTATGCGAACTTGAACAAATAAAATTGATTGTATACTAGGTCATCAAGAAAACATCACTGTAGTTTCCTGTTGTGTAAACCAAGCTCCTGCACAGTGTACTAAAATTATATCAGTAACATGTACTCATGGGAAAAAGCTCTGTGGGGGCGGGGGGCAGGTGCTGGGGGGCCAGCCCAGGGCTTGGTGCATGCCAGCCACTGAGCTCCATCCTCAGCCCCCAAAATGTGTTTTGGAAGACCATAATTATTCAATCAAAGAAAAGAAATGGTATAATTGAACTATTTACAAAATATAGAAATGGAAACTTTATCAAGCATATGGGATAAAATTAAATCTCTACCCAGGAAATTATTTAAGTTAAACTTTTTTCCTTTATTTGAAAAGAACTCAATAAGTTAGGAAAAGAACAAAATGAAGATATGAAATATAAAAGAAAGAAAATAACAGATGCGATTCATAGTGTGTATATTTCTAGATGACAAGAAAAGACAGCTGTTCACATGATAAACTCTGATACCTAAACCTAGTGAAGAAATCCTCCTAAAATTAATAATTCAACTTGTGATAGTAGCTATAAAATTTTTAATTAAAATACCCCAGCAAGTTCTTAATATGTAAGAATACTTTCAGTTTTAAAAAAATTGATCCTCACAAAAGAAAATGAACAGACAATCCATAGGGGAGATATAAATGGCTAATAATTATATGAGGGGGAGTTTAAGCTTCACAAATAATCAACTCTTCTATCAGCTACAGAATTATGCAAGGTAATAACCACAGTTGATGAGGATATATGTATGTGGGGACATTTTCATATTCAGTGGGTGGCAGGGTAAATTGCTCTTCAGAAAGCTGACGTCAACTTAGCAAAATATAATGAGTATTTTACACAATCATCTTTTAATTCAGCAAGGCCATGAATAGAATTATTTCTGAAGAAATAATTAGATTTGAGGTTAAAGACAGTAAGTATTAGAAATACTCTAAATGTGCAATTTAGGAACATTGTTAAATTATGGTGAGTCTAGATAACTAGTTGTTGATTAGGCATTAAAACTGCTTTTTTTTGGTAAACCTAGTGCCTCACACATGCTAAGCACGTGCTATACCACTGAGCTACACTTCTAGCCCAACACTGATGTTTTCAAAATAAGTGACGTGTATGACGCTATATGTGGATATGTTTAGGGTTTTGTTTTCTGACTTGTAGGAGTCCAGTATATAAAGTACAGAAAGAAGAAGGGTATTTTGTGCAGGAGGGACAAAGTTGTAGGAAGAGTAGAAGAATCAGAGACTTTTGTGCTGCTCCTAGGAGCCAGGAAGTGCTGCTGGTGACCAGAGAGGTAAAAGGGCCCAGGTTTGCAGGGCCCTGGAAGACACTTGAAGGAACCTGAGCCTACTGTAAGCCATGGGGAGCTATTAAAGGCTGTTTCGTGTTAGAATGAGCAGGTAAGGTTGGCCCTGAACTCATTCCAAAGTAGCTAGAGACATAAGGAAGGGTAGATCCAAAGTAAAGGAGCCCGAGACAGCCGACCACTTAGAAGCCTGCAGGAAAACCCACATCGGCCCTAATCCAGGACAGCCAAGGTGAGGTTGGAGAGTTGGACCACACACAACAGTCAGTTGGCTGAATGGACCGGTAAACAGAGACCCCCCAGGCCCAAGGGACACCAGGTGACTCCCAGGTGTCTAGCCTTGGTGTCCAAGGAAGAAGCACTTCTGTCAACTTGAGTAGAGGTTGGCTGTTTGATTACTGTGAGGTTGGGTAGCTCAGTGGTCAAATACCTGCCTATCATGTGCAAGGCTTTTGGTTCAATCTCCAGCATTGCAAAAAAATAAAACAAAATCACTTATAAATTTTTATAAACTAGCATTATGCCTCTCAGCTGAAGCTTTGGAAAATCTGTTGCCATTGGCTGAAGGATAAATTAGAAAAGAATTCCTAAAGATGTATTTCCTGAGCACAGCTCAGCACCAGAGACTTTTAGCTTGCAAAGCAGAAACACTTCCTGGAGATGCTAATTCCAGCACAGTTAGAGAATTCTTTAGGTTAAAATGCTTCTCCCCTTCTACCAAATGCATCTTGTCAAGTTGCTTTGAAAAATTAAACCTTGAGGTGAATGAAGCTATTTAAAGTATATTTCGAGTGTTTCTTCCCTGCTGAGTCATTATGATCTATGGAATCATAAATTTTATAAACCTGCAAGAGACCTTGCTGTGTGCATCTTAAATCACTC